TTCATTGAATGAACGAGAACGCTCGACCCGCACATTTCCCGACGCGCAACACGTTACACGCGATGGAAGCCTCCACAAAACAAGAATCGAGCGCGTCGTATTAATTCCATTGCTATAAACGTGCCGCGTCTATTGTGCCACGTGCATACTACATCGGCAGCGTACACAATTAGTGGCGACCCACGAGGGCTGACGGACAGCCGACACGGTACATGTCAAATTGTGTTGCTCTTCTCTTCCACGTGATCCCCATACGAGCAGCGCGCTGTCGCCTAGAAGGATGTTGTGCTGTGTAGCAACACGTGTGTGTGCGTGTGTAACCATATGCTTGGCTTGCGCAAAGGGTGCATATCTCACGGCATGAATCACTCCTCTGAAATGTTCCCTGTCCCCCAAGTGTAGCGTTGAAGAAAGAATTTCCGGTAATATTACACAATTGGCATTCTTTCCTTCCTGGTAAACTTCCTTGAAAAAAGAACAACATGTCGTGAGTTGACAACAGCAACAACCACCGATGTATTGTGGTGTGTTACTTAATGATTTGATTGCACGAAGATACAGGAAAACAGGTTTCTCCCTCGGTTATTCACCCGTGAAACGTGATAATTGTTCGTCTCTGAACAATCGCTCCTCGTGACAGTCCTCCAATTTTAGTGTTGGGTTTTTTTTTTCTTTTTAAAAAAAATTTGGCCAAATCTTTTGGGCCAGTCCTGCTGCGGAGACTTGCGGTCAAAGTATGCCAGTCCCGTTCTGTTCTTCACCGATAATCCACAGCTCAAACAGGACAGCTAAAATAACCACTGGCTCGAAGCCACTGCAAACCTCGGGCATTTGCCAAATGCGCACTGCACATACAGTACGTACTTGCACGTTCATTCTCACTTTGATGTTATACCCGACTGCTGTTACAGTATTAACATGCTGCGGTGCAAATTGTTATTAGTCCGTGCACTCCAGGTATGAAACATCAACTATAAAAATGCTACTCTTTGGTTGTTTCGGTAAAGTCACGTAGGTAATTTTTTTAATTTCATTAATGAAAACAACTCAATTAAATCACGACGTTTCGGGCGCAACACAAGCATCCGTCATCAGGTGGGAAAGCATGGTCTGTTGCTGATGCAGACTGTTCAGTTTTTTTATTTTTTACCTACGTGACTTTACCGAAAAAACCCAAAGAGTATGAATCCTTGCAGTCACGAAAGCTTCAAATCTAGAATTATAAAAATGCTGTACGAGTGGATACTAGTGACTGATCACAGATTTTTTTCATGCCAAAAGTTTTTGGGTTAGATCGCGTCAGTATAAATGTGTCGTTAACCTCCACCACCCTACACAGCCAATGAGTAAGGGGTTTGTGTCATGTAAACGAAACGCCAATAAGTTACTACTTCAGCCCACCGGTGTGTTGGAGAGTAAATCTACGACATTTATTTCAATTGTGTTTTTGTTTGCTTTAACGTCACACTCAATGGAGATACATTACTGAGATAAAGTGCCACAGTAATTGATTCATTGATAATTGGAGGTGAACATTTGGAAGCATTTATCAATAGACTTCAGGAAATTTAGAGCGTTTATGTCACATCCTTCCCCGAGTTACAATGAACTCCAGAGCCATGCATCGATTTTTGGCGGCCTAATATTGAACATTTAGATTGTTTTTGCATATTGGTCTCGATAATTCTAAGCAAAATGTCAGCTTTCAAACCCCTTTTGTGATATTTAATCCCACCACCTACACACGCCGTACTCTGCACCACTTAGAGGTGGTTGCTGTGTATTTGTTCTGCATATTGGGGTGTCTTCATCCAACAGTGGAATAACCATGACTAATGATCATTGCGAGGGCTTGCCATTTTTATGTAGAATTCCAACTGTTGGCTTAGTACTGTACCGACAAAAGACCAGTCTCCCCAAAAGCATATTAGGCGCTGATATTCATGTAAAATGGCCTATTATTATTAGTATATACTGTATAAGTCTAGAGAGCCGCCCCTCTCGCCTGAACAGACTCAAGACTATATAACTTGGTTCTTTCGGCAAAGTCACGTAGAAGGGAAATAATACAATAATAAAAATATAAAACAATAAAAATTATTACAGCGTTTCGACTGCAACACAAGCAATCATCATCAGGTGTGAAATCCACAGCAAGAACATTTTTCAAATTTTTCAAATTTTCTTGCTGTGGATTTCAAATGTTCTTGCTGTGGATTTCACACCTGATGACGATTGCTTGTGTTGCAGTCGAAACGTTGTGAGAATTTTTATTGTTTTAAAAAAAAATTTTTTTATTATTCCCCTTCTACGTGACTTTACCGAAAGAACCAAGAATATGAATCCCTGCAGTCACGAAAGCTTTAAATCAAAACTCAAGACTGTTGGGACAATTTCTGTTAGCGAGGCACCTATCGATATTGTGGGTCTGCCAGCAGCACGCCCGGCCGCCTTTGTCTCCCCACTGGCGATGTTTTACACACTGTGGCTGAGCCGGGGGGCACGGCGGGTTGCTGGACGCGAGCAGAAATCGAACTCGGGTGGGCGGATTCCGTAGCGCAATGCGCTATCGATTGCACCGTCGCTCCTTACCTTACGTACAGGTGTCAAGCGGCACGAATAACGAAGCCTATATGACGTTGCCTCTGCAGTATTCACAGCAGGCACATGTCTATTATATTCTAGATTTGAAGCTTTCGTGACTGCAAGGATTCATATTCTTAGGTTTTTTCGGTAAAGTCACGTAGGTAAAAATTAATAAAAGTAAATAAAATAAAAATCACGACGTTTCGGAGGCAACACAAGCTTCCGTCTTCAGGTGGAACCGTCACAGCACGATTGCTGTATCAAGTGATCTGAAGACGGAAGCTTGTGTTGCCTCCGAAACGTCGTGGTTTTTGTTTTTATTTTATTTTTATTTAACTTTTATTCATTTTTTTTTTTACCTACATGACTTTACCGAAAAAAACATAAGAATGTCTAATATAGGTGGGTGAGGTTTTTTTGGGGGGGTTAGATCGCTTAAATATAAATGTGTCGTTAAACCCGCCACCACCCGACGCAGCCAACTCGTAAGGTTTGTCGCGTAAACAGCACGTGCCAATTCGTTTCTACTTCATCACAGCGGTGTGTTGGAGAGCAAATCCACAACGTTTACAATCTGAGTACATGTAGTTATAACGGCAGAGATTTAGGCGGTGAGCTGTACATATGCGGCCCTTAGTCGATCCGCGTTCATACTCGTGCAAGAGCATTTTGCGGCACTGCGAGCACACACGCAGGTGAGTGAGTGAATGAATGCTGCTGCTGCGTTATGCAAATGCCGTGAGCCGCGTTCGGCGACGGGGGAGACGGGTCACCGACCACTTCTTACTCGAGCTGCTCGCCTCCGGTCACGACAGGTGAGCGCGTGGGAGTGAACAACTTTACAGCAGCAGCAACAGCAACAACAAAGTCAAAATAACGAAACTACATCAAACGCAGCGCAAAGGACGGAACAAAAAAAAGGGTTCCAGTCAGCCCATCGATTGTTGTCGATACACAGAGGTCACGACACAGGCTCGCTGCTCTTTTTTATAAGCCGCTACCAAAGACAAAGATCCCCCGTGTAGCCTTAACAGACTGCAGGGGCAAGTGCTGTTAGCGAGCACCTATGAAGGCCGGCACGGCACACGAGGGGGTGGGTGGCCAGCACCACGCCCGGCCGCGTTTGTCTCCCCAGTGGCGATGTTTACACACCGCACCGGATACTCATTTGAGGCTGAGTCGACCTTGGGGAGGCCCGGGACCTGTTCAGATGCTCGTTACTGTGGTGTTGGCCGTGAGCGGGAATCGAACCCGGGTCGCCGGTTTCGTAACGCAGCACAGCGCTAACTCTTACACCACCGCCCCCCACACACTCACTCATCTGAAATGTGAATCACTGCACACACGTGTGTGTGTGCTGTGTGCATCTTCAGCATGCAAGGGTACGGGAGTGCGAGGTCATATACAGGTGTGAGTGTGTGTGTACAGTGCTGTATTGTGCCGATAAAAGAACAAGGTAGTGTGTGTTGTGTTCATTGTGCATATTCAGAATGCTGGTGTATCTATCGGTGGTGTGTTCACGTACAAGTGTGTTCACCCTAGGAACACGTGTGTTCACATGCACGCTGGGGGTGCGGTATTAATCTAAAAGACGGTTGTGTATGGGTTAACAGCCGTGTATGGATTTCGTACCGAAAGTTCCGTGTGGATTCAAAACTTAATATACAAGTATGAGTGCATGTTCGTATACAGATGTGTTTGTGTGCGTTGTGTATCTTAAGAACAGTTAGTGTAAAAATGTCGATTTAAAGCTTTCGTGACTGCAGGAATTCATCTTCTTGGTTCTTTCGGTAAAGTCACGTGAACAGTTAGTGTGTTCATTGCTCACATACAGGCATGTGTGCATTGTGTATCTAAGAACAAGAGCTAAGCATGTGCACGTGTCCACATACAGGTGTGTGTACCACCAGTTTGCGTTTCTGTTCATATACGGGTGTGTGGAACAAGTCAGTGAGCGCGTGTGTTCATATGCAGGTGAGCAACGATTTCGTGTATGTGTTCATGGGCAGGTATCAACAGTTAGTGTGTGTACCAAGTGTGTGCACGTAACAAGTATGTGCACGTGCTCATATACAGGTGTGTATCAACAGTTAAGTGTTCACGTGGTGTGTAACAAGTGTTCACGTGGTATCAACGGGTTAAGTGTTCACGTGGTGTGTAACAACAGTTAGTGTGTGTACCAACAGTGTGTGCACGTAACAAGTATATGGACGTGCTCATACACAGGTATCAACAGGTAAGTGTTCACGTGGTATCAAGTTAAGTGTTCACGTGCTCATACACAAGTGTGTGTGTGTAGTATGCACCTAACGAGTGTTCACACACAACCCGTGCGCATGAACGAGCCCAAGCAGGTCTGTGTGCGGTGAGCATGGCAGCGGCTGCGAGGCGCGCACGTGCAGTGTGGAACTCACCAGGTTCGACTCGGAGCAGCAGGGGAAGCTTGTACCTGCTGACGATTGTGTCCAGAGGCAGGGCCAGTGGACTCCATTGTATGCCACCCGGCGGCTCCATAATTCATTAATCATTTCTCATCATTATCATCATCGGCAGCGCAATCGTCATCACCACCTATCACTGCAGCAGCAACGGCATCGCCGCCGCACGTGGCAGGCTCACAATCAACACAACGGGCATCTTCGTAGTAGTTGTCATCGTTAGAATCATCTTCGTCGTCGTCGTCATCATCACGGGAGCAACACCTTCTTTACAAAGTCATTATCCTCCTGGATGAGCAACGCAGCTGCTGTTGACCGAAGTCGACGTTGAGTTTGCACACTCGCAGCTCAGCAGCGCGGAGGAGGTAATGAATCGGTGTTCGCCATGCAGGCTGTGTGTGCTCTGTGTGTGTGTGAGTTTGTGTCTCCCTCGATCCCTCCCCCTCTCTCACCCTCAACCCACTCCACCCCACCCCCCACACACACTGCGCGTGTTCTGCCCTCTACCGTAGTGGCCCGAAACGCAGCGCACCTCGTCGAAGCCGCAACGGAGATGCGATATTTAAAAAAAAATTAAAAACAAAGTTGGGGGTCGTGTAGCAAAGCACCTCTAAACACCCCCCCGCGAAATGTTTGTATATTCACGCGCGCCTATATGATCCGTTGTACATTTTGACCTGACTACTACACGGCGTACGATTGTGTTTCATTCACCAAAACGTGCACAGACCCAGTGGACGCATTCAATCAGAACGACGACTGTACCGACATCCTCTTAAGACTCGCACCGTTTGGACTACTGCACAGTCCTTGTACTCGGCACTGCGGGTTCTTTATGCCACAGTCGATATCGATCCTGCGAGATGTCGCAACTAGACCACGCACGTTTTCATTTCATGAGATTAATCCTCAACCATAATCCGCATGATCAATTGTTGGTGCGTTGCGCGATGATGTTGCATGATTTTATTATTGTGATCATGATGTTTGTTTATACAGGAAAGCTTCGGCGAGTCTCATGACTCGTTTTTCAAGAGTGTCCTGCCACGTTTTCGCCAGTCTGGCGGCGCTGATCGCGATGCATAAAATCCCACTCGAGAAAATGTGATGATGACTTTAAGAACTCCCCCACATCGACATCGCTGACCCCACACCACCGCCACCACCATCGCCATCGTCACCACCATCAGCAGCACCAGCCGCGCGTTGAACTAAAAACTGACGGCCACTTTTTCTGTGTGAATGTCGCACGCACGTGAACGCGATTGTTCAATCCCAGACTTAATTCAAACCTGCGTTTCCCATAAATATGCTAAATTCCTCTTCATATGCAAATTCGTTTGTCAAGGCGCTCTTCCTCCTCCCTCCCAGCTTAAATAGACGCTCCAAGCCTAGGACGTGTCATTCAGACTCTGTCTTGTCGACAGACATGTTCTTCACCTGAGGACGGCTGCTTGCGTTGTGGCCGAAACGTCGTGAGAATTATTTTATGTTTTTATTTTATTTTATTATTTTATTACTTCCCTTCTACGTGACTTTACCGAAAGAACCAAAAAGATTAATTCAAACTGTTTTTCGTCTCGTTCCGCATTGACGCGCGTTATACAGCAACCTGGCCGTTCGCACACACGCAGCCGAACACACACACACACACTCTCTCGTTTGCTCTTCGGCCACGTTATTCATCCAGTGGCTAAGTAATCACGAGGTCGCCGGTTCGATCTCCCGGTGCGGCGGGCGAAGGTTGCACGTTTCTTAAATCCCCTACCCGCCCCAACACCCCCACCTCTGAATCTAAACACCAGTTTAGACGATTGGCAGGTCAGGTGTGGTGGGTAAAGTGTGGGTACTCATAATCAACGTTTTTGGGTTAGATCGCATTATTTATAAATGTGTCGTAACCCTCCACCACCCGACACGGCCAATCAGTAAAACAAGTGTCACGTTTACAAAAGACAAATAGTTCACCACTTTAGCCCACCGGTGTGTTGAAGAGTGAATCCACATTTCTAATTTTTGAGCACGACGTTTCGCTGGTAATTACATCCAGCATCATCGGGTAATTTGCCAGAATAGTGAAGCCCTCCACTTGCTCCCGGTCAAACAGAGCAGCAGGGTGACGTCATCATTTAATTCGGGCCAGCGTGGAAGAGTAGACCAAATACCATTTTAGGGGGGGGGGGGGGCAATTGCAGGGCTGCACCTTTACCACATGCTAAGCAGGGTGGGGTGATGTGGTTCGCACACTGCCTATGAACATAGCTACCTAAGTTCGATACCTAGCCACGGCGAACGTGAGTGGCGATATCTGAACTGGTTCCTTTTTTTTTAACCAACCCACCCTCCACCAACGTGGTGAAGTATGGTTAAATCCATGTGATCCACAGCGTGGGGAAGCCTTCAAGCCTTCATGGATCAAAAAAGATGGACTGAATATTTCTCCCATATGCCAATTGTGCTATTGACATGTCATCAGATGTACTTGCATCGAATGGAACGCTCGGTCTAACAAAACAGGTCCATCATCGCACGTGTGGAGTACAAACGGTGCGAGTTAAACGGATGTCGGAAACAGTCCGCGTCTGTACGAGTTCAGCCCCCCGTACACATTGGATGAATGAAACACAATCGCACGCTATGATGTTGGGCGAAAATATAAAACACTCAATTATAGGCGCGTGTGAAGATACAATTGTTAGGTCACGATGGCTTAGAGGTGCTTTGCTATACGACCCCCAACATTGCTTTGAATGCGTGATCCTTTTAAAATCCTTTATATTAAGTTCGCTTGCTTGCTTGCTTGCGTGCTTGTTTGCTTGCTTACGACCGTGCAAATCTTTCGGTCGTTTTTTAACCCACTTCCCGTGATCCAATCGAGCTGACATTTTGCACACAGACTCGTTGTGCGAGACAATGTTCGAGAAAAATTTTTTCCTAAATTTTACACTGTTTAGGGAAAACAAATTAAATATTTAATTACCAATTGCTTAATACTGGCAATCATCTGACCCATAGGTGGCAGCCATCTCAAGCCAGAGGACGAGAGGACTCTAGCCGCCACGTATATAAAGGATTTAGAGTGAAAAACTTTGTTTTTACGGGTTATACTTATATATAGTTATTTACTTTCCAAGAGCGCATCTCCGTTGTGACTGTGCGTGCGCTGCGTTTAAAGCCACCGCACCTCCGATTAGAACGGTTGGCTACGTACGGTGCGAAAGAAGTTCAACATGCGGTACATACATTTGCCACTCTCAGAACTCGACATTAATCGAGTTCGGGGTGATTCAACAAAATGTTTTTTCGTGCAGCAATTTGTGACTATCAAGGCCTTCAACTCACTGCAACTTGAAGGGCAGTTTTAAACATGGGTAGCTGCAACCCAGATTCGAACCCATGATCTCAGCGGTGCTGGCTTAAGTACTCTGATAATTGAAAAACAGATTGCAGCCCTACTATCAATCTACTTCTGGCCGATATAGCCTCCGGTTGGAGATGTGGTACTCATCACAAGATAGCTAAAAAAACTAGTAATATTTGCTTGTAAATCAGATGATGATGAATTGAGGAAGTGTTAACGGGGAGCTGGAAATTGACTCAATGATATGTTGAGCGAGTATCATAGCAACATGTTTGTATGTGAAAAAAGCCCTAATATATCCCGTGTCATCCTCATAACTGAGTTTATGTTCATGACAGTTTCTTGCCATCTCCACTGGGAGTCCCGTCCATTGCAACCCTGTTCCACCCAGCACAATCCACTGTTGTACTGTCATTCTATGCTCCCGCGATTGATCCCCACCTTCTCCAACTCGAAATGACCAGCGTGGTGAAGTATGGCCAAATAATCTCCACGAGCTGCTCGGTTTGACGAGGCCCTCCTCCAGCAGTGAACTGACACAACGGCTGTACACTTACAATATTTAAATTCGGTAACCTGCATTGAAACCCGTGGTCTTAATCAGTGAAAGGCAATCATGGCAGTGCATTGATTATTGAATCATTCTGTATGGAGTCTTGTTAGCTCAGGTGTGTGTGTGGTGGATTTCCTACCACGTGACATAAAACACAGATTAAAGGGATGGGTCAAACATCCCATCACAGGGCCAGTCTGCAAAAAAAAGAGTCGAGGACTCGGTGAGGTTTCAATTGAACTAAAGGAATTATCGTTACGTGCATCTTTAAGTGGACCACGCTACAATACAGATCATAAGACAAAAAAGCCACGTTTGTGTCTGCGATACGGCTCTCTGTACGACGCAGTCCCCTACCCCCTTTGTTTATTTTCGCAGTCCGGCACAAAGGTGAGAGCGCCTCCTGCCGAGCCCACAGGTAAAACAATATAGACCCGGTGTCCTCTCCGAGCAAGAAATGCCACTTAACCACAACCACTACGTTCTATACATTATTTAACAAGCCCGACTCTGGCGATGAGACTCACGAGGTCGAAAGCAGCTCCAGCGTTTCCATGCTTAACAAATGCTACTTCTAGAGATTATCATTAGTACGGAAGGCCTGGATAGCGGGGAGGGGGGGGTTTGCATCAATGTAAAATATAATTTCGCCTACCAGACATTGGCAGCAGCTGTGCGCACGCAATATTCATTCATAAAAAAGTCCACTCGGCATCGCACTCAATCCAACACCACGCGTGAGCGCGCGCGCAACGGAGACGAACGCAACACGCGCAAGAGCTCCGCGAATTTCTGGGGGTTTCGGCCGCATTGCAATTCGATCCACTTCAGGAGCTATTTGACCACATTCGCGTTTTAAATAATGAGCGTCCACCCCCCCCACCCCCTCAATCCCTTGCGACACCCACGGCCATTCTCTCCGTGGCCGGCTGTAACCAGAGACGTGAAGGCAGGTGGGCAGACTGCGGAAAATTGGGATTGAGCAGTGAAGTCAACTCGATTCACCTCGACCTCAGTGACCCCAGCAGCCTCCTTCGAACGAGTGAGCCATCTGTCTGGAGCCCCAAAATACTGACAGGAGGGTTCCTCTGTACATTACGCACAGCTTCTCCAATGACTTTTCCTCTTAAGTGTCCCCCTCACCCCTTAATGTTACACTAATTACAGTGAAGCTCTTCCTGACAGGCTTCTGGCCAGTGTGGGAGAGTAGGCCAAAACCCTCCTTCTAGTGGAGATCCCTTCTGCCGGCAGTGGCGCAAGCAGGCAATTGCAGGACTGCACCTTGACCTGTATAGTACTTTTTTGCATCACGCTATTGGTGTATAACGTAAGCACAGAGAACTCGCTCGTCAGTTCCTGAGTCGTCTCACGTCAACGGCTTCAAAATTGCTCCAGATTTACTGCCATTAACTCAGATCTACATTTTTGGCACAATGATTCATCGATTCAAACATTCTTACGCTCATGACACGTGCACTGAATGGTGCACTTAAGGAAATATTTTTTACAATCTATGCAAAGCGTACACGGATATTATATAAATAGCAACATACGCTGTGGTTTATTACATCGCAGTATGGCGAGATATGGCAGCGGCTTGGGAAGGCCTTCATCCAGCAGTGGATTGATCATGGTTGATAATAATACACTAAAAGACAAAACAATATTACACGTTAAAAAAAACAAAAGAAATCAATACTTAAATGCGATCGTGATACCCTTTTTCAGTCATCAAAATAGCAAGTTGACTACATAGTACATCGTTTAATCTTCTAGCTTGCATACATTTTCAGCTTTTCAGAAGGGTCGTTTATTTAATCTGCACCTATCTGCTGAACAAGCCTTCAGTAATGGGAGCTTGATGGATTTTAGGAACCAAAGCAATGTTTCATTGCGAATTTTATTTACGTGCAGTTATCAGTGATTTATTTCGCCATACATGAGAACACAGTTTAATCTCGTGTTTTTATCCCGGCTCGGTGATCCTTCGCCGGCTAAACCACTTTACAATGGTGTATGTTCAATGGCCATCATCAATCCACTGCTTCATGAGATCTAATGCGTGTGGTAATGTGAGACCATCTGTGAAGAGAGTTTAGGACTTGGGGCTTCCTTCGCCAACCAGCATTGACCAGCATTGTGAAGCATGGTCAATCTCTAATGACTAACACACCTACTGTTGTAAATACATGTATCATTACACACGCAGTGTTTGCCACAAATGAACCACAATACTTAGTTGATCTCGTTAAGGAGCATAAACCATCACCCCAACTCCGGTCAACTTCGCAGCGGCTTTTGAGGAGTCATCGAGCAAAGATGGTCACGGCATCGCGCGTTTTCCAACGCACTTCTGCGGTCGTCTGGAACGCTCTTCCTTCCGATGTTAGGAAGCCACTGGAGCTATGCACTTTTAAATCTAGATTGCCAACTAATTCCTTTAGAACCGAATTTTTTGTGTCCTTAGTTTGTTGTCCTTCCCCGCACCTCCAATTAGCATGGTTGGCTATGTACGGCGCAAAAGAAGTTCAACATAATACTGTACATTCTCTAAAGTCCACTGAACAGTAGGGGAGCTTGAGTAATTGCTGTAGAAAATATCACGTGGCTGAAAGCATTTAACTGTTGCCTAATTTGAATTTTTTTGGCCGTTGTGGTGATCACCGTACCATTCCATCGCCCCTGCAGCCAAAATGTCATGGTGTCTGGTTTGTTCTCTTTGGAGCAATTAAAATATAAACCGTATTATTTTTGCAACGGTTTTAACTTAACTTCACTTGTGTTTGTCGTGGTCAAATCTTGAAATCAAAAGTTAGTCTACTACGTGCTGTCCTAATCAATTCATAATTTTGCACACGTACTCAGATCCAGAGACAATGCATGCCTGTATCCTTTCAAGCAATTACAATTTTTGTATGGACGGCTTTTTAATTATATCTTTTTGTGTAGGTCAAAAACGCCGCTGTCCCTAAACTGTGGAATCGGCTCGCACAAAAACGCAGGCGCCGCACGTGTCTCAGGCGCCATTGACGTACTTCTCGACCGTGAGTTAAACGGAGTTGTTATTAAAACCGTTGTTTAAAAAAAACACTTTTTTTAAGGAGTTTTGTTACATGAACCACAGCACGATCACTGCAACTGCAATAAACGTTGCTGCTATGTACATGGCAACACGGCGTAATCAGTGGAAGGACCAGTGTTTAAAACAAATATCTCCTAAAAATAAATCATGCACAGGACACGTACTGCTGAAGAGATTTTGAAGATTGCATTGTTAAACTAAAATAGATGCCCATTTATTTTCTTTCCCACATCATCATTTTGAGAGGGTGAAAATGGAAGGCAATGTTACAAGCAATTGCAGTTGTCCGTCATATAAATCACTCGAAATGTGCCCGATTTCATCAGACTTGGGATGTTAAGCAGGCATTTAGCCTGATGAGCACGATTGTGTGTAATGTTGCAGGCTGCTGCTGCTGCTGCTACTGCTGCTGCTGCTGCAGGGTTATGTTGTCCACAGAGGGCAGCACGGCAACATCGATTGTTGTGCCGTAACAACAGTCCCTTGGCTTCACCGACCCACACTGACCACGTGAAGTATGGTCAAATAACCCCATGACCCGCACTACGTGGGGACGGCCTCATCCCGCAGTGGGCTGCACAGCTACATCGAGCATTTGTACAATTCCTAGAGCTTACGGTGTTATGAGGATAATACAAAACAACACCCACCAACAGACCGGCATGGTATTATAGTATTTATACTTTGTAGTTTTTAAGTTAATGAGCAAAAACACTGGGTTTTAAGAACAATTGCGTGCAACCGATTATGATTATTATTTTTTAAACGCAGAGAACATTGCATTAAACATGAACAATTTATCCGGTTTCATTTTAATTGGGATAAAAAAGTTAATCAATTGGCGCAGCGCGTCTATAAAGCGAGCACTCGAGACCAGTGGGCCCCCCGCAACGGTAACACGCCAGGGGTTTGTCACGCGCGCAAAGCTCACGGTGCGAACGTATCCACCAGCATGATTACACTTGCCAAGGGTGACACTCACGACAGTCAAAATAAAATATATCACACCACTTCCCGTCACGCCATCTCTACTCCAGGCTTTGCCGCTTCTTTCTTTTCCTGTTTGCTTTCTTGCCGGTGGCTTTGCCAGGCAATGGCTTCTCAGGGGGCGATGGCTTCTCAGGGCGCGATGGCTTCACGGGGCGCGACCGCTTGCGTGCGAGCCTCGCGTCCCTGGCTTGCGCGGCAGGTGCGGGAGTTTCTTCGGGGGCTTCGGTGGAGGCTCCTCGCTCTTTGCCCACCGCCGTGCTCTCGCGCTTCTTCTTGGCCTTGTCGCCGGCCACCTTCGCCCCTGCAACGAGGACGGGGAAAAGTTAAAATCGGCAAGCGTCGTCGCTTTGGCAAAACTACAGGGGGGGGGGGGGGGGGGGGGAAGGAGCCCTCTCCCGATGAGCGCTACACAGGTGTGTTGGAACACGCTTGTAACCTATATCACCTGTTAGGCAGTACAATGAAAAAATGAGAATGCCAATTATGTAAATGTACAAGTAGGTTTTCACGGTCCATATTAGGATTCATAAATAGTTTAGATCGTGAAGGTTTGTCATTTTTTTTAAACTATAACCCTCCACAACACGGCAGCCAATCAGAACAGGTTGTCACGTTATGGGAAAATATGGTAATTGATTTGGTTTATCACCCAAACTGGAATGTTGAAAACCCCAAGCAAAGTTTAGACATTTTTATTAGATCTTTTGCTGAAAATTACAAATGACGTTTCACCTACACGATCGAAACCAAAATAAACCAATTATGAATCATGTCAATGATATGCTTAATATAGTATGACGAGCAGATGTGCAGTGAAAATCCAACCATCTGTCACTTGGTGAAAAATCGCAATCGTGAATCAATCCTTTACACTCGGAAGTGACTTCACCGCATTGGCTGGCTACGTAAACAACCCGTCCGGCACACGGGTGTGAGGCAACGCAGCTGCGGCCTGCGTAGCGAAAGCTTCCATGACGGCCTACAACAAGGCCGCACGCATTCACACGAATCGAGTCACGCCGGAGAGGCACAGCACTGCCGATTGAGCCCCGGGACCGTGATGCCCCCTCTCTCTCTGGGCACCGTAAGGGCGGGCGAGGCACAAGGCACTGGAGGAGCTGGGACAATTGGTCTATTAAACCGACTAATCGTCAGTTTTTATCTCCGTGTGTATAACCCACGTGCGTTTAGAGTATTTAGCTGCTGTAAATTCTCATGTGATAAGCCACTTCGTTGAGCTATCATTTGTGGCCAGGTCGCTTCTGAAAGATAGCTATGGGCCTTACCTGGGAAAACATTTTTTATGACAATCGAGTAATGTTTCTGCGGTCAATTATTGACGGCCCACATCGTGAAGACAGATAACCCCCCAACGGAGCCAAGCGCAGTGCGACTCAAGTAGCGACGCCGATGACATCACCTCACGTCCAGCGGGCACACGTGGAAAAAGGTGCGAGAGCTTCACCCCCACCCCTCAGCTCTTTCCGTATTATCCTATTAGTCGAGCAATACAACCAATAATCAGTAATCGACTCCACAGAGGGAGCACGATAAACACGCCCGCATGCCGTGCCCCCCCCCACCCACCCCCGTGCACTCGACTCGGGCAATTTGAAACAATGCGATTATCAAATCGCAAAGGCTGCGTTTTTTTGCGATTTGAAAAGTACTATTAATTTCCTATTGGAATTGTTTAAATTTGTTATATTAAAACTTTATTTAACTTAACAATTATTATTCTATGTTTTATTGATCTATTTCAAGAACATTTTAAAAATAAATACATGTTGGAAGCAATTAATATCTTTTAAGTTCTCATCCTTGCATTAGAATATATAGAGCAGTTCATATGTTGATGGTTTCACGTGGTAATGCTCCATCACATGTTTTAAATCTATTACACAGGGAATATTGAACTGAAGCTTGACTTTAACAAATTTAATCCGAAATCAAATCGCAATCGCAATATCTGTCAGAAAAATCTCAATTAGATATTTTCCCCAAATCGTTCAGCCCTGCTGCAGACCCATGGAGACGGCACAGTTGAGCAGGAGGGGTTAATGCGTGGCTGAGAGCAGGGGGGCATTAGCCCCTGTCCTTGGCCCTGCTGACCCAGCTAAAATCAATGGTTTAAATTAATGCTTCTTGTGTCGGGGTTGGACAGCCTTACAAATGAGGTGCGCGCATCTCCCGGTGCATTTGTCCGGCATAAATAATATATTTAAGAAATTTTCTTAAGTTACTACATCGCAGAGAACCGTTTAACCGCAACAGAAAATAAGACGCGGCGGTCATTTTCATACTCGTCCTTCTGTACTCGGAGCACTAAAAGTGATCTGCTATTTATTTAATAATAAAATGCCAAGGCAATATGTATTGACACCAGCGAAGCGTTGTACTGAAATTGTTCATGTTGTGGGATTTACTCTACAACACACACCGGGTGTGCTGGAGTAGTAGTTGGCAAAATTTTTGTTCACGTGACAAACCTCATGAATAGACTGTGGTCGGGTGGTGGCGGGCTAATGACACATTCATATTTACGTGATCTAACCCAAAAAAACTGTATTAAGGACGAATATCCTGATGAAAGAATGACATTAACAGGAGCACAAATTGAAAAGTTTACAGTAATTTAAAATGAACTGCATCTTTCTTCTGGAGTCGTTGCTCCCACATCTGTAGTGCCGCTCTCACGTCTTCCAAACATCTTGCGCCAATTAAACTCAATGTTTGTTACACGGAGAATCCCATTTAGCAAGTTACCCCAGCTATATTTGGTGGCAACGGCCACAGCCGCTAACAACAACAGAGCTATTGCTGGGGCGGAGAGGAGCCCAGCCAGGAGCCAGCCAGGATACTCGAGGCATAGATTATGTTTAATACTATAAACTATTTTTAAAACCTTTTACTTTACCAGGTAAGGCCCACTGAGCTACATAGCACGAATGATAGCCCAACAAAGTAGCTTATCATGCGGAAATTTATCACAGAGGACCCGCGCTACCACGGCCAGAAATTCATGCAAACACCAAATATACAGCAGGCGTCAAAGGTCGAGATCGAACCCACAACCTCCTGTATACCAGGCGAGGTAGTTAACATCTCGCCACTGTGGCGACCCTCGCCACCGCGACATATGAAGTTGTTGGTCCATCTAGCCAAACAACCCCCTTCTTGTCAATGAATTTGAGTTTAGTTGTGAAAAACTTTGTTTTTACGGGTTTACTTGTTGTCAATGAATTTGAGTTTAGTTGTTTATCAGATGATCCCATTTAGACCGGTTTCACGGCTATTTTACAAGTGAGCTCCGTGGTGCACGAGCACAGCAGCAACGACAAAACGTAGATTAAAAGAAAACGTCAATATTGCAGAGAATGCGTACAGGTCCTGAAGGAATATTGCACAACTAAGTGGAGATGGCCAACAGTGGCAAACAATGGAGCGCTGCTTTCCCACGCCAGCGGCTACAAACCCATTGACAAAACCTGCTGAAAGACGCAACACGCGGCACACAGAGCAGAAAGATCGTGCACACGCATCGATTGTGTAATGCTTTCCAACACGCGGTTGTCCTTGGAAGGGAGCGTTTTATTTATTTAACAGTTGGAAAGCCAATAGCTGGGCTGGGTTTGCAAGAAGTTGCATCCTGGTCTGCACTGTGGCTCAACTGTAGAACTATCCAGCAGCACGACTCACAACCTCTTCTATCAACACGAAGGAGCAGAACCGTAACAGCCAGGCGTCATTTCTCGGTGGCAGGCCCCCAAGTCTGCAACGTTGGCCATCGTCGTACCCGATGTACATTCGCTGCAGCAGCGTTCAATATACACCGCCTTTTAAGAAACTCACTCGCAAGGCTCACCACCTCTTTCAACCTTATTTCGCCTGGCTTTCGAGCGATACCGAGCACGGCTCCCGCAACTCAACAGTCAAGGTAATTTAGGTCCGTGAAATATTGTGCGCGTGACAAATTGCAATACCATTATGGGCACCACCGATTAGCACGTTTGGCTTAGTACGGTGCGAAAGAAGTTCATAGATTAGCAAATTACCGATGCGCAGCAGATGGCGGAGCCAGCTCGCGCCTCAACAGACGAGGGCAGCTTGGTGCACGGCAGCACTTACGTGGTCCCTGCTTGCGCTTGGCCTGGGGCTGCGACGCCACTTCCTGCGGTTTCCAGACGGCGAGGCAGGTGAGACGAGCCGTCGTGTTCACTTCTAGCAGCATCTCGGGGGGCTGCTCAGGCTGTGGGCATCAACCACGCAACGCGCACACATACCTCTGATTAGCACGGCTGGCTATGTACGGCGTGGAAGAAGTTCAACAAACTGTACATACATTTGGCACTCTCAGAACTCGAACTGAATCGAGTTCAGGATCATTCAACACAATGGGACTTCAACTCACTGGTACTTGAAGGCCAATTTGAAATGCGGTTAGCTGCAAACCTAGATTCGAACCCAAGATTTCAGCGGTGCTTACCTAGTACTCTGATAATTAAAAAAACTAATTGCAGCCCTCTATCAATCTCCTGCTGGATTGATAGCCTCCGGTGGAGATGTGGTACTCATCACAACATAGCTAAAAATATTAATTTTCTTGTAAATCAGATGGTGATGATATGAGGATGCGTTGATGGGGAGCTCGAAAATTACTCAATACAGAGGCACCGATTCCGTTGACGCTTCCCAAAGACGACGAGGGGCAATAATGAATCCGTAACATGGCTTGCAAGAGTAGCTTACAGTGAGAGCTGGCATCGTAGCTTAACATCCATAATCTAACCGTGTTATATTGAAGCTTAACATTTGCACATCTGTAAACATTGCCTTCCAAGTATATCTTTAAATAACAACAAACGTCAACGAGCTCCCACTTGTTCTAAGAGGACACAGTTTAACTGACTGTATTTAAAATATTAACTATTTTTATTTACCAGGTAAGGCCCACTGAGCTACGTAGCTCTTTTTGAGAAGCAACCTGGTCCCAAATGATAGCTCAACGAAGTGGCTTATCTGGTGGAAATTTCAAACAGCCAAATACTGTTTATTAATGTGGAAGGAAAAACCGGAGGACCTGGAGAAAAGTCCCAGCGACCACGGCGAGAACATGCAAATTCCAAATACACAGACGTCAGGGTTGGGATCGAACCCACGACCTGCTGCATACCTGGCGAGGTAGTTAACATCTCTGCATGACCAGGGGATGAATGAAACCCATTGATATCCATGAAACAGCATTTCCTCTCTTGCAAAGGTGACCTGACCGCAGCGCACGTGGAGCGGGAGGAGGGCAGCGGTGACGGACACTCACCGACTCGGGCAGCACTCGCCACAGCTTCACGCTGCCATCGCTGGAAGCGGACGCCAGCACGTGCTGGCCGTTGTGTTTCTCCGTGTACAGCGCCTTCACTCTGAAAGACGACGTTGATAAAACGCACGCTGCGTCACTGACAAGCGCGGTACCGTGAACTCCGCAGGATAATAATGGGGGAAGCGGAGTGGCCCAGTTACAACAGAAAATGCAGTACGTGCAAAACACACGGAATCTAGGTTATAGAAACGTATCGTTTTACATGTGTCAAATGCAGGTGAAGATGTACAACGTGCCACATGCTCTTCGTTGATTTTATAAATAATAGGTTTACTTGCTAACATGTTTGCGGTCATCGATGGGTGAGCAGCAGCTCGTAATTTGAAATGGCGCGCACGCAAAGGTGCTCATTTGTTTTTTGCATGCACAGTTACTCCGCAGCCCCAATTGTGGCCATGCAAACCAAACCACGGACAATATAGTAAACCAACGCGTAGTCCTTCAACTGAAGAGGAATAGCAAAACTAAACATGAAGAACCTCTCGTGGCTAACAGACCTCGACACTGGCACGCGTCTGTTGAACATCTTACACAAGAATAGAACTCCCACTGGTGGCCCTGAGCTAGTGGTGGACTGAAAAGTTACGCGGCCGACACGCGGTACCCTACACTTCTCCACGAGGTGCGGTTCTAGACGTCGATCGGCGTTCGAGCCCGCGCGAGCGTGCCCACTCCGCTCACCTGCTCTCGTGCGCCTTGAACGTGCACACCTCCTTCAGGGTCTCCACGCTGTGCAGTCGGACAAACTCGTCGCCACCCGCCGTCGCTATCAGGTCCTCCTGCAGGCCCACGCGGCATTAGCATCCGGTTCACACGGCGCACACGCATGCATGCCACACGTTTCGGTGCTGCAAACCAATGCTGCTATCCCCTCGTGGGTGCAAGAGGTCGTGGGTTTGATCCTATCCCTGATGCCTGTATATTGGGAGTTTGCATGTTCTCCCCGTGATCAGGTGAATTTTCTCCAGGTCCTCCAGTGTTACCCTTCACATTTATGAACATGTATTTAGAGTATTTGGCTGCTATAAATTTCCATAAGATAAGCCACTTCGTTGAGCTATCATTTGGGACCAGGTCGCTTCTCAAAAAGAGCTACGTAGCTCAGTGGGCCTTACCTGGTAAAATAAAAAGTTTAGTTTAGTTTTAGCATCGCTAATGATTGCCGTCCTGTGCAAAAAGCACGTAAATAAGATCATCATTTTTCTTTTCTGCCATGGAACAGGGAAGACCGGTGTACCCGAGGCGTGCCGATTGGTTACGTCTTCTCGACTCTGTGCTTCCCACACAAAAGATTCAGGAGACCAACTCCCTAGATCGGCAAGTTTGGGGGATCTGTCCCATCTCCAGACCTTGGCGTGATCAGCCTGCTTTCGCAAGCCATCAAAAAGTCTCGACGAGAAGACCTGGGGTTGGATTGATCCTCGACAGTTTGACGATCTTATGTCCGTTCGGCCATCAAGTGTCAAAGGCATGTTAAAGAGCCCTTGACAGAAATACACAATCATAGGAGCACGTGCGTTTATTACCGAGCACTCTCATGCACCATGTCAACCTCAAGAGGTCAGTATGGCCAATGGCACTGACACCCACATACCTCAACATACCTTCATACCGAGCGCGGTATCTTAAAGCTTTCAAGTTGAAATGAAAAGTTTGGAAGTGACATACAATTTGTTCAGTTACAGATGATTAACAATATGTATGAATAATATTGGCAATCCCACACACTGATAATGGCTCAGTTCAAACACGTGGTTCTGCTTACTGATGACGGAACATCACTTGGGCTGCCACGTGAATAAACAAAGGGACGCCAACATCGAATGGGTTTAAGTTGGCAATCACACTCCTTAAAAGTCCTTGTGTATAATACTGAGTAATAATGTTAATCAACGGAAATTAGCCACTTTCCAATTCGAGAACAATACCAGCAGCTGAGCGTGTCCAGAGATGTACTCCACACACCTGCCACACAAACATGACTTTTTAGCACATACGCATGGAGGGGGGGTTAACCCAAATGCGTACGTTTGCGTATTGGGGGTCTACTCACAATGTACGCACGCATAGGAAACGGGGGGGGGGGGGGAGGGTTAATCCTCGATAATAATTTGTCTACATTGGCCTTCAAATGAGCCACAGTTCAGTTTCTTCAGCTGTCAGACAAGCAGCTCAGCAAAATAAGTGGCCAAGGTACGCAACTCAAGTCTTTAATGCAGCCGGTGGTGGACTATCTGTTTGCATAAACGCGTTACTATTTCAATATTTATGCGTGGATTAAATATGGGCCGTTCTATAACATTTTGGGGGGAGGGTGTAAAAAGTACGTGTGCGTACAGGGAGGATGGAGGAGTCAAGTTGACAGATTTCTGCATACCTACTAAATGGATGGCCCCTAACCAAAGGGGCTTTCCCTCCACTAACAGGAGCGACACGTAGGCTAGTATTGTAACATACCCACCCCGGGGGCCGATGCTTTGGGTCAACCTGGAAAAGATGACGAGGCACCGCCAGCCTTTCACCATAGAGTATTGGTGCCTTTCATCAAAATCTTTGCCACGATCAATCCACTGCTGGATGAAGGCCTCCACCCCCCAAGCTGTCGCCATCTCTCACGGTCCCGCCGTGCGACAATCCACCAAGTGCCTGCACGCGAACACTTTTCGTCGCTCTATCTCCATGGTGGACGTGCACTTTCAGGCACGATCCCTCATTTGGCTGCCACTCGGTCGTTAGTGTGGACAAGTTTCTTCACAACCGGTGTGCCAGCTCGGCCAAGTCCCAGGTGTGTCGAGGTATTTTCGGAATTATAAAAAAAACGAACATCACTGTTCGAAAGGAGGCACAGACGCAAACTCTCTTCCCTGCCGTTCAGCAGCCGATCCATACAACAGACAGCAGTCAGCCCCCACCCCCAGCCCTCTCAACTCCCTCGGTCACGCACTTGGGCAGACGGTGTCTCGCGGAGACAGAGCAAGCTTGAACGCAGGTGTCGTGGAATTAAAAACATTGAGAAGTGCCGGTCTAGACGACCGGGCACCATCCCTTCTAGAGGCGCATCCTGCCTCATCCCACTTACTTGATTGTTCTTAAAACTTTATTTAACACGTGTATACACTCTAATCCGTGGGGGTTTATGCATTTAAGCTACGTAAATTGCAGGCAGGCACAGTCAGCAGTCGCCAGCTTGTGCCACAATGCGTCTAGCCAACGTCTTGCTCGCCGATAAATTTATCTCGAGCAGGGCATTAAATTTGACAGGCGTGAAACAGCTCAACATACTAACGTACGCAGCAACAATATGCCATATGAATTTCTTTGCAAGAGCAACCTGCGCAGAATGCTGCACTTAATGGCGCCAAGATGCTAAAAAAAATCTATTTTTGCAGTCACTGTTGAGTGCTAAAGCCATTACATAATTTGTTTGCCTGCTATCACATAAAACACATCACGTTCACAAAAGAGCACCTGGAGAATGGCGTTGCATAACACACGTTGGACTAATGGGAGAGCGGATATCGAGGTGGAGGAGTTCATGAATGGCAATGTCACGTTCATCGGGATGTAACCCCGGGCACTTCAACCAGGTGGGTGTTCCACATGGGGCTACACTCTCCGCAACGTGTCAGCCAACAATATTATTGAGTGGATCAATTCCTCAATTAATCTCGAGATCATGACAATAACTTGAAGTGGCACGACCAGATTGTGTCACATTGGCATTCATCTGGTCGTAACGTCAACGCGGGAGAAGGCGCGTAAACGTAAATATTTTTAGAGTTGATAATACATCTCCCGAGTTCGGGCAACCCTTGGGGTCATTGCCCGGTTGTCTCTAGGATAAGACTTCACGCCGCAGATTCGCTCATTCATAGATCGTATTTTTACGAGAGTTACCGTGACCTCGTGTTACGGAGACAGACAGGGTAAGAATGCATCGTTCGCGCTTTCAGCCACAGCTGGAAAGCGTCAAAAAATTGCAGGCAGTGGTGGCGGCGGACGGCTTACGGTGACGAAGCGGATGGAGGCGATGCGCGCAGGCATCACGATGCTGCCCGTGACGGTCGCAGTCTCCAGCCGGTACACGTCGAGGTGCGGGCCCGAGCACAGGGCGTATACGTTCCCGCTGGGGGACCACAGCACCAGCTCAGCGTCTGCGTGCAACGCCGCCACCACCACCACAAAACACATGCACCCCCGATTAGCACGGTTGGCTGCGTACGCTGCGGAAGAAGTTCTACAAACATACATACGTACGTACGACGTGCTTCAATTGGAGACTAGTCATTATTCCCTAACCTGGCTGAGTGCGATTTTGGTCAAATTTGCCCAATGAAGGGTTCTTCAACTGGAGGCCTCGGGCCCCGCTGAACCCTCGCTAACGTGAGATATATATATATATGGATCGCCGAGACGTAGATACAAAATCGGGAGGGGATCAAAGAGAGGCCGAGAGACGGAGCTGCAGATAGGAGATAAATATGAGCGACGTTTTTATGGGAAAGTCCTAAAATTGGATTTGCGACCTGCCAATTGCGAGTCGATATCTCTGACCACAACCATCAGTGCTCAAGTAAAAATGTCTGGTTTCTTGAGTCAAGCAAAGTTTAAGCACTGCCAGCTGATGAGGGTGTATTATTGTATTTGGTAAAGCCTCTTATTATGCCTTACTCCGCTTGATGTTCTTGATGAAGGCTGACCTTCCTTCAACCAGGTTCCACGTCCTGCAAAACAAAAAAAATTGAATAAATTCAATAAAACGTGAATTTAAAATGATAATTGACACATTTCCCAATTTGCAGCAAGAGCAATACGCACATTTAAAGTATATAAACAAACCCCCATTGTAGTTTAAATTTAAACAAAGGTTGATTGCAATTTGACTAATTGCAGTTCGCTCCTGAGATAACTCAGTTAATACAGCACTGAGCTAACGATTGCACGACCACTGGTTTAAATTTCAAGCAGCGTAAAAACCAGCCTCATGAATGGTTTCATCAACCTAATCAGTCTTCATCTGCTCTGTGAGACCAGTGAAATGAACACCGTCTGGTAAGGCTACACCTCTCATTTTGTACTCGCACAGTCTTGCCGTAAGAATGTGCAATTCCATCCAATGGCTGTATGTGCCGCAAACCTGAGAGTCTTGTCCGTGCCCACGGAGAGTGCCAGCTTCCCTGACGGGTGAACAGACATTGCCGAAACATGTCCCCTGCGACACGCAAACAACATACATGATGAGAGCACGTGAAGCTGTGTTATTAGGAAGCCGCCGGAGCTATGCTCCAGTGAATCTAGAATGAAAATGTATTTCTTTAGAACTACTCTTTGTGTTGTTTGTTGTCCTTCCCCCACACCTCCGATTCGCAAGCTTGGCTAGTATGGTGCACAAGAAGTTCAACATACATACATCGTATATACAGCTGACACGTTTGGTGAATTAAGTCGATCAACAGATAAAAAATAAAAAATTGAGAACGGTCCAAATATCCCCTCCATCCCCACGTCGCCGGCACACAGGGCCCACTCCTTTTCGAATGACGTCAGCGGATTTTAACGAATAAAGTCAGCGGATTTTAACGAATAACGTCAGCGGATTTTAACGTCCGCTTTCAAGCAGGTGGTGCACACTTATGCTTAATCATCTTTAGTTCCCTTCTGCCTTTTCTTTCAGAGATGGGAAACAAAACCATTTCACTTCTCCGGTCTGTCAACCCTGTCCCGCCAAGTGTTTTCAACCCCCGGCTCCTTGGCTATGGGCGGGGGGGGGGTGGTTTGTGCGGGGTGTAGGTGGGGTGAAATATCTCAGGATGATGACATCAGCCCCCTCGCTTTGGAATCTTCCCTCGTTAACTCTCACATCCCATCTGTCGCCGTGACGAAGGACCCATCGCGGCGAGGTTGTCATGAAACGTACCACGGTTAATACGCCTGGAGTATTAACCAGGGTGGCTGACAGGCTGACGGGCTGGAACCTCTGTAACAAACGGTGAAAGCTGCTACACCAATTCGAAAGCATCGCTGCCCCGATTCGAGTGGCTATGCGCAGAGACTGGTGAGGATTTGGCTCCACGATTTAGCACCGGAAGCCTATGCTCACCCAGACGGAACGGTATTATGTGAAAGCAAACACTCACTAATGTATTTTTATGAGCAATCAATAGTGCTGCGGGGGAGGTGGGAGGGGTCTTAGTTTAAAGGGGCTCTGCACGGGTTCATGGTTGATGCGAGTCTTTTGTAAACTTACATCAATTACGGTTACCAATAACAATGCACTTTACTTTTTAAAAATATTTTTTCCAGTAAAACCGCAGAGATATTTCAAGACTCTTTCAGCAAAGTTTATTTCGATGGAAGTCTATGCGGTATTTCTTTGAAGGAGCCTTTTTAGTTTCCTGTTGGAGGAAACTGGAGTGCCCCGAGAAAACCTCCGCAAGCAAGGTAATAACAATCAGTGAGCTCTCACAAATGGGTCTGACGAACCCATTTGCTGCACTACCACCATCTCCTGCTAATTATGAAAATATCACAATTCTGTGCGATTAACTACCAATGGCCACTGGATTCGAGGAATGTACCACCCAAGATCAAATTTGACAAAGCATCATGGGCCAATGCTGCCGATGCCACGACAACTTGTCATTGCTCCCTGCCAGATACCTCAGCTGTAGCGCAGTCAAACCTGAATGCCAGTTTATTCGGGTCCCACCATCCGGCTCTAGGTTTTCCCCTTAGTCCATGCTGCACATGAGTCCCACCCAACACCAAGCTCCCCTTCTTCCTGATTACCGCTGCAATGATTTTTCTTGCCACTCTATTCCACACTGTGAAAGCAATAAATAGAACTCATTGCTGCGCTTTTTGTCGCAACACCACTTACAATATTAATATTGATCACGGGTTTTTTTCTATAAGTATAGAGCTCAATGAAACGTGTCTCTTTTCCAAGGGCGACCTGGGAGATACACAGATGGAAGGTACACGAAGATGCGGGGAAGCTGCGAAGAGATCCTGTGACAAAATACAAGGGTCGGTACTTCTTCTAATAGGGTGCCACGGTGGCGAGATGTTAACTATCTTGCCTGGTACACCGGAGGTCATGTGTGCGAGCCCAACTGACGCCTGTATATTTGGAGTTTGCATGTTCACACCATGGTCACGTGCATTTTTCTCCGGGTCCTCCGGTTTTTCCCTCCACATTTAGAAACGTGTGTATTGAGAATTTGGCTGCTATATCGCTCAGTGGGCTTTACCTCGTGAAATGAAAATAGTTTTAATCAACAGGTGGCTTTACGTCCCTGCGAAGGCCCGATGCACAGCTAATGACAAAGCAGCTAGGGCACATTATCACAAAGATGGATCCACAACTAAGGGCCTAGATTGCATACTGGTGAACCAGGGTCATCAGGGACACAAAGCGGGAATTTGTGTAGCCACCCTCGGCGTTTTATTTTATCAGAATATGTATTTCTATTGGAGGAATCCGATCAGCTACAAAACTAGTTTTCACAGATGTCCAGTAGCCTCACAGACTATATAAATCAAACTGTGAACCATATCCATATGGTCTTAATGCCATTTACACCAAAATGGAAAGGTGTGGCTGGTGGTCATAAGTGCTCCAATTGACAAAAACCGGCTGAATGACTCACGGAGATGATGGCACGGCTGAGTCAGAGCGATGAAAAAAGGACTGCTGAGATCATGGGTTTGAACGTTCAGAATTATCCACATCTGCCCATACGCCATGGCCTAATGGCACGAGCACTATTCCTGAATGTTTAATGACCGCGCCATTTAACAGGTGGCGCACGTCTGTTTGATGATGAAATCATTGGTCAATCAATGGCCTCCAGGACGTGGTGTCATCCCATTGACACATGTCCTCTTTTGCAAGGATGACGTGGGACACGTAGTGCCTTCGTGTTAGTAACAAAACCAAATGTATATAAAACACACGGCAGTCAACACAAAAGTATGGAGCCATCAAATGAAGTGTCAATAAATCAATGGAAAAATATGCACCAAAATACTATAACCACTACACCTCATAACAGAATACATTTTAATAATCACATTTAAAAAACCGTTACCGACGCACATATAATTATGATTAAGGTGTGTAACAAATCCTGCCCCACGTGATTCAATAGCAACAATTTGGAGTTGTGATAAGATTTTAAGAACTGATTCTTATTTTCCTAACATGGTTCCCGCGGTCTAAAACCCTGCATTGCTCACGCTAAAACCCTGCATTGCTCACGTGAACCAGTGACAAACAACATTTGTGAAATTAAAACGATTGATTTTTACGCGTACTCTTCAATGCACGTTCAATGAAGAAAACAATAGTCAATTTTAATTGCCAAACCAGTGCATCGTTACATGACTGTTTATTGCTACTGCGCGGACTTTTGCGGTTGTGCTGTATAGCTCTCCGATCTGCTTTCACATTGTACCGTGTTGTCCAGCAGGATGTCCAACGTTTCGCTCCACATCCTGAGAGCTTCTTCAGGAAATGAACTAAGCAACCTCACGTTCTCACTCGATTATATCGTGTTTGCCGGCTGCTAGTGTTTGCCGTAGGACAGGCGATGTTATTTAATCAGCTGTGTCACGGGCATACAAGCTCATGTTGCTTATGAATTTATTGTTATTATGGATGAATATCAGAAGGCTTTGTATGGTTGGATTCGAACTGGTAAATCCAAACTCTCAGGCGAGCGTGCTCAGGCTCCCAGTCAGCCTGATCTTCCAAAAACAACAAGGATATTAACAGCCAAGAACAAATTCCAGGATTGAGGGCGATCCTGCGTGGAGCGTGGGACCGGGGTACCGATCGCACACACACACACTCACTTGTGGGCACGTATGGTCTTCAGACACTTCCACGTCTTGGTGTCCCAAATGCAGATGCTTCCATCCTGCGCACCGCTCAGCATGTGCGTGCTCCCGTAGAACTCCAGACACGTGATGGTGCCTGGGGCACGAGCAATCCGACATCACCGTCATTAATTCGTGTCTGTGTCACATCACCAAAAGCCCCTGTCTATCCACGGTTGGATGAAAGCCTTTGCAAACCCATCACCGCCCTCCTTGATGGTCCAGTGCTGCCATCAGCCATCTCCCTCCTGCACACGCAACTGTTCTCATTGCTCCATTGCTGTGGTGGTCGACCTTGTGGATGCGTTCTCTCCTTGGGCTAGAATATGGCTAGAAGAATATAACCGTCGTTCATTCAATTTAGCTCTGTTTTACATCCCCTTCATTAAACCAGCTGTACATGTCATTCACAAGCCCCGTTGCTCAACCGCGTAATGCAGACATTTACTTATTAATACACATCTCCTTTGCCGTGTACATTTATTGCCTGAACATATTTGAAAAGGTATCAAGTACAAATCACTTATATATATCAGGATTACTGAAACAAAAGGCTCCAGAGAGGTAGTTGGGATCGCTATCTTTTTTATTACACGACTAGAGTTTAATTTAGATTCCGAGTAGAAACGCAGCATGTAGAAAATTTTGCTGCTATAAATTTCCACGTGATAAGCCACTTTATTAAGCTATCTTTATGTGGCCTGGTCACTTCCGCAAAAAGCTACATAATAGCTCAGTGGACTTTCCCTGGTCAGATAAACATTTTAGTTGTATTTGTATATTTTTCTAAACTTATTAATTTACCTTTCCTATACTTTGCACTCCTATTGTGTTTTTTGTATTGTTCTGACCCGCCCATACTGCACATCTGTGAAAAAAATGTTGCCGCTCATCGTATTCCTACAGTATAAACATTCTGATTCTGAATAACTCCTTACATGCGCCCAAAACCCTGTTCTCTTCTATCGCTGCTTTATTTTCTTCCCCATCCTTTGTGGACCTTCCCAGGACTCTCCACAAAACCATTAATTTCTCCTATAATGATTTCCTCCAATATAAGTACATATCCTGATTCTGATCGACGTCATCATCTCACCGCTGTGCTGCAGCAGTGCCCCGTGCTCCACCCTCCTCTGCAGGTCGTACAGGTGCACGGCCTCGTCGGCGCTGCCCGTCGCCACGAAGCGGTCGCTGGCTGCCACGGCGGTCACGCACGCCAGATGCGCCTGATGCGTGAAGTCCGCCACGGCCTCCCAGCTGCCCTGCAACCCAGCGGAACAAACCATGCAGTTGGGCCAAGTTTCGAATCTCGGTCGGGGGCAGGGCCAGATTTAGGCAGCAGGCAAACGAGACATTTGCTTCAGGGAGATAAACATCCAAAAGGGAAGAGCACACACACAAAAAAATTTGACTTTTTAAAAATTTACTTCACTCAATCGATTCCTCAATCTTCCAGACTGGGAGGTCTGGACCACCCTGCTCAACATGCTGCCGCCGCGACCCTCATCAGGACAAGCGGATTGAGAAACGAACGAACATACTGTGTTTAACAACCATGCAGCAGGCTTGAATTTAAACTTTTTTTTATTTTACCAGGCAAGGCCCACTGAGCTACAGCTTTTTTTCAGCAGCGACCTCGCCACAAATGATAGCTCAACCAAGCGGCTTACCATATGGAAAGTTCTAGCATCCAAATACTCGAAACGTGTGTTTCTATATGTGGGGAGAAACCCCGGATGCGTAGAAAAATCCACGCGACCACGGGGAAAACATGCAGACTCCAAATATACGGGCGTCAATGGTCGAGATCGAACCCACGACTTCCTGTACACCATGCTTGGGAGTTAGCGTCTCGCCACCAGGGTTTTCTTTGGTAAACAAGCTTAATACATCATTTACTGTAGGAAAGTCTCGCCGAAAGCCTGCATTTGGTTGCGTGGCCAATTCCATTTGTGGATATGTGGAGGCGGCAGTACCCAGACAAAACACACATTCAAAGCTCTACAATCTCGAGACTATGTACCAAACCAATCGCTGTACTGCCATCTGCTGGCTCGTCGTAGCATTCGCAGCTATTTGATTTTAGCTCCTGTCAAGCAATTATATGGTGGCCAATTCAAGCACTACACCAGGCAAGACGCCTGCTTTGCTTGCGAGAAGCGAAGAAATCGGGCGATTTCAAGATATGATCACAGGCAGCATCGCGTCGTGGAAAGCCAACATTGGTTGTCTTGTAATCAGTATGGCCTCTGCCATGGAAATCAGAATATTTATTTATACGGAAGGAATCCGATAAGCTATAAAGCTCGTTTTCACAGACATCCAGGAGACGGGTCAGAATGTTACAACAATACCAAACACGATAGGAGTGCAAAAGTATAGGAAAGGTTAAAAAAATGCATACAAATAAAACTCAACTATTTTGTACCTTCTGGTTAAAACTTTACCATATATCACAAGTAAAGCCCACCGAGTTATGAGCTAAAGTTTTCAGAAGCGACCTGGCCACAAATGACAGCCGAACAAAGTGGAAATCCACAGCAGCAAAAAAAAAATCAAACTACAAATCGAAATGCACGATTCCAAATGTGGAGGGAAACCCGGAGAAGCCGGAGAAAAAATACAATCCAAGCGATTTCTGTCGAACGCACGGCAGAAATGCACACAGCAGCTCCAGACGCACAATTTCTTAGAGACCTACACAGGCTAATCTTGAGAGTAGCAAACTTTCCAATGGGAGTTTGATGCCAGTCGTAGTATCCAGTAAAGACATTGAGTGAGTGGTGGGAATTTCACGTTCTTATGACAGTGTTGACCCCCCCCCCCCCTTCTGACCTGGTGATTTTTTTAAATGGCATGTCAAGTCATTTAAACGGCAAAGTCTCATTGATTATCAAGACCCTTTGCAAGGAGTACTTTTTGGGCTGTAAGGAAATAGGTAGCTGTAGGGCTAAAGTTGAAACTAGTTTTTTTATATAGAAAATATGTATACCTTAAGTTTAAACGAGAAGCGTTTACACTGTTATATTTCTGTTAAATAAGCATATGCTACAATAAGGGGGATTGGCCAAACATCCCAAGGAAAACTTCCATTAGGCCTTAAAATTTTTGCCCAAATTAAATCTTCGATTAGCAAGTTTGGCTACGTGCGGTGCTAACGAAGTTCAACGCACTGTCACATTGCACAAATAAGTCTCCAAGGCGACGAGGAGGGGAAAAAAATCCATTCGCAAACAGAAAAGAGGGATGATTTCGATTTAAAGCTTTCGTGACTGCAGGGATTCATCTTCTTGGTTCTTTCGGTAAAGTCACGTAGAAGGAAAAGAATAAAAATATAAAAATAAAACATAATAAAATAATTCTCACGACGTTTCGGCCACAACGCAAGCAGCCGTCCTCAGGTGGAGAGCAGGTCTGTCGAGAAGACAGAGTCTGAATGAGACGCGTGTTTGTTGCAAAGCCAGAGAAGGAGCAGAGAGACGCGTCAAGAGGGCGACCCGCAGCTGGAGACGGAGCGATGCGGACCACGAGGAATTGCGTGGCAGACGCGTGGCAATGTCTTCATCCAGCCAGGGGCGGTTTCTTCATTAGGGCGATTGGGCGACGCACCACCAATGTCATTCAACCACAGAGTCACGCTAGCCGTCACTGTGCCTCTGGATATAGTCCAATCAGCGTCATGTCACGTTCTGTGGAGTACCGCCTCTTTTTGGGCGATTTCCCTCCAGCTGAGAATCGCCCAGAGTGTTCCCATAGACTTACATTCAAAGATGTTTTTTTTCGAACGGGGGCGCTGCAATGCATTCTCTATGGCTTCCGGGAGGGCTCGCCCTAACGTGCTTACGTCATCATACGTGCTTACGTCATCATACGTAAGCACGTTTCATCCAACAATATAATTTGTTGCCACCTAGTGGAATCTTTAATAAAATAAACTTGAGTGGTTTGTTTTAATAGTGAGTATAGAAACAAACAAGATGTATTTTAAGAGTCACTTTATTTTTCATTAATATTAAAGAAGTGAAGTTGCCTTTACATGCTTAAGCTGTTAATTTATCCATTGCATGGGTGGACCTTATCCTTATCAATCATCCAGACATTTGCCCGCCCTGAGAGATTTTGCAGGAGCCGCCACTGCATCCAGCAGTGGAGAAGTCATTGGCTCTAGATTTTAAGCTTTCGTGACTGCAAGGGTTAATATTCTTAGGTTTCTTCGGTAAAGTCACGTAGGTAAAAAATTTAAATTAATAAAAGTAAAATAAAAAATCACGACGTTTCGGAGGCAACACAAGCTTCCGTCTTCAGGTGGAACCGTCACATACCGAAAACACCTAAGAATATGTCATTGGCTGCGAATGGTCGTTGTGGCGGTGACATCGCCTTGGTGGAAAGCCCCCCCCCCCCCCCAAAAAAAACAACTCAACACTGTGGCCTTTAAACTATGAAAAAAAACTTTGTTTTAGCAGATAAGGCCCACTGAGACACGTAGCTCTTATTCAGACGCTACCTGGCCACAAATGATAGCTCAGCCAAGTGGCTTATCGTGTGGAAATGTATAGCAGCCAAATATTCTGAACGCCCCGTTGATTCTAAATGTGGTGGTGGTGAGGGGGGGGAATTGGAGGACGCCGGAGAGAAACAAAAATCCACGCGACCACGTGGAGAGAATCGCGCACAACTCCAAACATCAATGCTTCTGGGTCGGGATCCAACCCACGACCGCCTGCATATCGGGCGAGGTGGTTAACATCTCACGCCATTATCGGACACATTAAAAAGCGACGTTTCGGGCAATGGCTCTACTTCACAGCACACGCAGAGGACCAGATACATTCACTCGCTAGTGCGCCATAGCGTGGTTGAGTACAGTAACACGGGATGATGGATGGATGGTATCCACGTGGAGACAAACTTTGTAACTCGCTACACGTGGTTCACACACAGAGCCCCCCCCCCTCCCCTGACGCATTTTAATATAAAACAATGAAACGTAATGAACTTACATCGTCGTTAACCTTCACTCGGTAGCCGAAGAGCACCTTCTCGTAACACCCCGCCACGATCTCCATCTCTGCAGCAGCTGCTGCTGCGGCGGCGGTAGCAGCGTGGACCCGTGAGCTCCTCAGATTTCCCAGCTCGCATAGGGCGCCCGCGGGTGTGTCGAGAGGGGGACTCGGCCCTAGTTCGGCCATCTTTGTACGGGAAGCTTCCCATTGGTTCAACGTAAAGGGAGGGTTGCGTGACGTCACGGGTATAACCCCTTACAAAGATGGCGACGTCGGCGTGTAACCACGTGGTGGCGGGTGGTGGCCCAATGGCGATGGCGGATTGAGGGTATAAAACGGAAGTGGCTGTGCACCACGTGACCCGAGCGAGTGGGGTCCTGAATCAGCTGCGCTCCACGTGGGTTCGCTCCTGAGGTGTCGGTTGCACATTCACGCCGGTGCCTCTCGCAATGGGTTTTTTTGTTTCGTATTTTTAAGTGTTTTAATATTTATTTTATTGCCAAGGGGATTTTAACAGAAGTAGTTGTATCGCTGTCGACGCAAACACTGCCTCGACAGAGAAAATGTGATATAAGGTAAAGTTTTAACCAGAAGGTACTAGCATTATAACTTGATTCAGCAGTTGGTTGTCCATATACTACTATAGCATACACCAAAGTACTGTATGTGTTGAGTGCCCTTCCCATTCTGAGCAAGAGGTGAAAATTCAAATTCTCATGGCGATGAATACTATTTGAACACGCGCCTTAAATAATAAAGCATCACCGCCTTTAAATACACAGTACAGCCGCTGTTCAACACAAATGTCTCCCAAATTGTTAATTTTATCCACCCCCGGAAATGATTGTGATGATGATGGGCTAAAATTCTCCGGTGGCCACAAATACCACCGGGAGACACCCCCTCCCCCACCACACAAAGTCACTCCCCCCTCATCCAGCAGTGGATAGTGACACAGGTATCCCTCTCGAGCACATTGTACTCCTACATCAATAGAGAGAGAAAGACAAAGACTGGGGTGGTGTGAGGACAGGCAGCTTGTAGATGTCCGCGTGGCCACCCTCCCACGTGCGTGCAGTGGCAGCAGGCACTCGCAGCGGGGTGCCCCGCGCTCTCCGATGACGTCACGACAGCGGCGCCTCTGCCGAGGGAAGGACCCCGCCGAGACGCGTGTCTCCGGGCGGTGCCTCCTCCTCCCTCCTGCTCAGTCTCCCGCCTCTCGGCGTCTCTCGTCCACCTTCCTCCTCCTCGTCCTCCTCTTCGTCTCCCCTTGTTCGTGGTCGTCGTCTTCCCCCTCCCCCTCCCCGACCCCCGGTCCACACAACGCCAGGACCCCCGGTCGGCTGCGAGCATGGCGAGCTTGTGGATGGGCGACGTACGTTGGGGTGATGGTGGGGGGACGTGTTCGTGCGCGTTAACATATGTTGAAGTGTAGCAGTGTGTTAATGTTTGTGTAATGTATATGGACTGCGTGTGCTGTAATGTTCAAGGTGTGCGTTAATGTGTGCGGCTTGTATAGACTGCGCGTGTGCTATGATGTTAATGGTGTACGTTGTGCGTTAATGTATGTGTCGTGTATGGTACTGCGTGTGTATTATAAAGTGTGAGGTGTACATTGTGTATAACTGTATAATGCGTATAATGTATACACTGCATGTGTGTATAATGTATACACTGCATGTGTGTATGTTTATAGTGTGCATTGTGTATTACTGTGTGTATAATGTATATACTGCATATGGTAATGGTGTACATTGTGTGTTAATGTATGCGGCTTGTATATACTGCGTGTGTTTTATAAAGCGTGAGGTAAACATTGTGTATTACTGTGTGAATAATGTATACACTGCATGTGTGTATAATGTATACACTGCATGTGTTGTGTTTATGGTGTACATTGTGTATTGCTGTGTGTATAATGTATACACTGCATGTGTGTATGTGTATGGTGTACATTGTGTGTTAATGTATGTGTCGTGTATATACTGAGTGTGTATGATAAAGTGTGAGGTAAACATTGTGTATTACTGTGTGTGTAATGTATACACTGCATGTGTTGTGTTTATGGTGTACATTGTGTATTGCTGTGTGTATAATGTATACACTGCATGTGTGTATGTTTATGGTGTACATTGTGTGTTAATGTATGTGGCTTGTATATCCTGCATGTGTGTATGTATGGTGTACATTGTGTATTACTGTGTGTATAATGTATATGCTGCATGTGTGTATGTTTAAGGTGTACATTGTGTGTTAATGTATGTGTCGTGTATATACTGCATGTGTGTATGTATGGTGTACATTGTGTATTACTGTGTGTATAATGTATATGCTGCATGTGTGTATGTTTAAGGTGTACATTGTGTGTTAATGTATGTGTCGTGTATATCCTGCATGTGTGTATGTATGGTGTACATTGTGTATTACTGTGTGTATAATGTATATGCTGCATGTGTGTATGTTTAAGGTGTACATTGTGTGTTAATGTATGTGTCGTGTATATACTGCATGTGTGTATGTGTATGGTGTACATTGTGTATTGCTGTGTGTATAATGTATATGCTGCATGTGTGTATGTGTACGGTGTACATTGTGTGTTAATGTATGTGTCGTGTATATACTGCGTGTGTATTATAAAGTGTGAGGTAAACATTGTGTATTATTGTGTGTATAATGTATACACTGCATGTGTGTGTTTATAGTGTGTTAATGTTTGAATATTGCGTACATTGAAAGTGTGTAAGTTTTACATTGCGTGTTTGTTTAGATTGTGTGCTACGGTGTTAGTGGAGGTCAACACGTATTCTTCCGCGATCACTATTATCCATACAATTTCTTTGGGTTAGATTGCGTAAATATAAATGTGTCTTTAAACCCGCCACCACCCGACACAGCCAATGATGTAAAGTTTGTCACGGAAACAGAACGTGCCAATTCGTTTCTACTTCATCACACCGGCGTGTTGGAGAGTAAACCCACAACATTTACAATTCGAGTACGACGTTTCGCTGGTGATTGCAACCAGCTTCATCAGGGGGTAGCCAGAATCGTGAAGAAATCCTGTCGAAGTCTTAAATAGGGGAATAAAGGTTAATGTAGTGTAATGTGAAGATTGTGAGTGTTAAAAGTTTGTTAGTTCATTGTGCATTAATATATACCGTACAATTCGTCTCATAAGATTAAAACGTTCACATTGTGTACGTATTAATCTTGTTTATATTTATAGAGCGTCCATATGCAGTACAGGGTGCTATACAGTACTGCATTTGCGGTGTGTCTAAATAAAGTGTATTGTGCAAAAGGTGTGTGTTATGTACGTGTTCACATGTGTAATGTACATGTTGCATATTTGTGTGTTCAAATCCCGCGATGACCGGCCTGGTGAAGTATCGTCAAACAACCGCGGCTCCACATGCATGTAATTTGACAAACGACCCCGTACATAGATACATTTAAGAGTGCTAACACGTGTGCCATGCGTACATGTATATGCTTGTTTTAACATGCTGGTCAGAATCGGCTACGATCTTCCTCCACCACTGGATCAAAGCCTCCCCCCAAAGCCACTGGGCCATAAAAACCTGACGGTCGTGTGATTACAATATTCTGTGTTGCTGAACGCGAGCAGAGAGATCTCTCGTCGGTAAAGTTTCTGGACCTCCTTGCCGGCTGGCATTTGTTTTCTCTTTTGCTTTTCCACTGTCCATTTGTCACGAACACTCAGCCATCGTAACTCCCCCCCCACACACACCCTCCCACTCTAGCAACGTGTCAAGCCCAAACTCTTCACTAAGTTTTCCGATCAGTAAAAGTGATGTCTTTTTAACCTGTGTTACAGTATGTTCTCTAATCTATGTGCCCCCCAATCGATTTCTCAGTGTAAACTTGGCTCCACTGTTCTTCGTGAGTCGAGAATGCCTACGTTTCTGATCCGTGTCATAGCAGGGCAATATGCACAGATTAGAAACTTTCTTGTATTGGAAAATTGGTTGAGTCACTTTCCGTGATTCATTTCAGTTTCCCAAAGTCACACCAACCCATGCCTTTGTCCGTGCCCTTATGTAACCATGGTGACCCTGGTTCACCTTCAGTGACGATGCATTTATTGAGGTTTTTTTAGACACCTGGCCACGATTATGCAAAGGACACGAGCCCACTTTTCACCCAGGCAACCGGAGGGCACCTGGGTACACAAGCTTCGTCGCGTTTTCCACGTGTGTCCCGCTGACAGGCATGCTCTACTGTGTTTGGGCACACTTGTATGTGACTTTTGATCGGCTCGTCTTTTGTCTTAGGCCTTGGCAAGGATAAGGTCAAAGGTAAAAACAACGATCCTACCTTTATCCTTCCTTTTACCTTACCACAATACAATCACACTACCCTTACATTTTACCTTTAGCAAGGTAAAGGTCAATGGTCAAAGGTCAAAAGTAACGAGCCTACCTTTACCCTACCTTTTACCCTTATCCCATACAAATTACCCGATCACAGGGTAATTACTGGGGTACTACACTTTAAAACGGTTTAACAGGTACATTTTAGGAAGAGCGCTTTATTCATGTAGGATACTCTCGATGATTCCAATTTTAAATGGAGGCCACGGACTGCGCCCACGGAGCTTTTAGCGAGCGGTAAACAAGGTGTTTACGGTAAACAAGGTGTTTACGGTAAACAAGGTGTTTACGGTAAACAAGGTGTTTACGGTTAACAAGGTGTTTACCGGGTAGCATCATTCTTCCGCGCTACCTTTACCCTACCCTTTACCTTACCCGGTAAAACGGGTAAATTACCTTACCTTGCCGAGGCCTATTTTGTCTTGAGACCAACCTTTTTCAGCCGTTCATTTCAGAATCGGAGTCTATTTATCCTGGAGAAATCCGATGAGTTTTGAATCTCCTTTTCACAGATGTCCAGTAAGGGTTGGGTCAGAAAGTTACTCCAACAAACAGGTATAGGAAATGTTAGCAAATCACATAAAATAAATTAACTTAAAACGAAACTTTTTATTTTACCAGATAAATCCCACATTGAACTATTAGTTATTTTTCAGAAGTGATCTGGCCACAAGTTGATAGCTCAACAAAGTGGCTTATCACGTGGACTTTTATAGGCACCAAATAATCTAAACACATGTTTCTATAATGTGAGATTGCTAATATTTTCTCCATCTTCTGTATATCTATGCCTTTCTTTTTCCAATCCAGTTTTAGGAAAGCATATTTTAATGTTGCCATGAATAACTTTAGACGGAGTTTGTCACCTTGTCCGGCTAATTCATGCATTTTCATTGCAGCTGTTCCATTTACATGAATGGTTTTTATTATTCGTTTAGAAAAAATGCAGTCCTTGGCTTGTGAATGTTTCGATGGATGCATCAATTTCCACCGAGTCAAATTCCTTTTCATAGTCGACAAAGGCCAGGCACAGTGGTATTTGATATACAATCAATCTCTCCAGGAATCAGATAGAGTTGTATGTAAATGTGTACTGTGTGTATGTATGCGCATGTCAACGTGTTTCCAGTATATTCAACATGTTTGTGTTTTTGTATAGATGTCATGTACATACGTTATATCATTGAATGTATCATGGTGGAATGGTAAAGTAGCGGTGAACATGCTGCTGTACGAACCCCCACCCGAGTTAGATTCCCGTTCACGGCCAAAATCAGTAACGAATATCTGAACTGGTCCGGGGTCTCCCCTAGGTCGACTCGGCCTCAAATGTATATCTGGTACAGTGTGTAAACATTGCCACTCGGGAGATGAAGGTGGTCAGATGTGGTGCTGGTCAGACGTGGTGCTGGCTATCCACCCCCTCAGTGACGTTCCAGCCACCATAGGTGCTCGCCAACAGCACTTGCCCCAAAAGTTTAAGACTTATACGGGGGTTCTTTATCTTTTGTGTGTCTTGTGTACGTGCAGCATATCTTGAAAAACGTCCATGTATGTATGTTGAACTTCTTTCGCACCGTCCGTAGCCAACCGTGCAATTGGAGGTGCGGGGGAAGGACAACAATGGTCCTATACATGTAATGCAACTCTTATCATTCAATGCATTTATTTGAGGTCCTGGATTGGTTCTATTTTTCTGTCGTGGACCACGTGGAACGTAAGAGCCTCAGTGGTCGTGTGAAGCGCTCACGTGTGTCATAGAGAATCGAAGCGGTCGCTTGTCACGTGACAAGGATTGATGCTCGTATCATGAGCGTAACAGGCGCTGTCGTGAATTTACATATTTTCGCTCGTGCGATATTACGCACAAGCGATATCATATTCTCCGGATGATAATATTTTCTTCATCTGTATTTTAAAGCAAAAGTTCGAGGTGAATCGTATAATGCGGTAGGTGTGTGTGTGTGTGCGAGACCAGATC